AAGATTTTATTGACATTGGCATTAATATATTAAGTCATTTTGATTAACACAAGATGCTAATTGAGCTCTCAAATAAAATCTCATGATTGATATCATGCATGTCCTATTCATGCCAGACCGAACACAGACTGTAGACCCTTTGGGTTATGTCAGTTGTTAGCATGAGGGGCTTCTTAAATCTGGCTTATTCGTGGATGAAATTGGAATCGGGGAATAAAGAAGTCAGGATACTTAGTTTGTACCTCAAGCTGTCCTGAGGAGGCTTTGCATCATAGTGGTGCTCATTTTTTTACTCAGGGAAGCCGCTGGCAGTGGAGGTTTGCTTAATCTGTTGTAATATTTAGGCATATGAGGCATGGATTTAATGATGCAGTGCAAGCTTCTTGAAAGAAAATTAGAAGAGAAAAATGACAGTCAGCCATTTCATTTGTCACTGGATTTCAATCTGGCAGTACACACATTTGAGCCAAATCTCGCCTATTTCTGGCATTTCTGATTTTGCTGAATTTAGCTGAGTATAGGAATCAACGGAAATCAATTGTGAGTCAACTTAGAACTGCGGATCTGAGCCTTGAATGGGCAAAAATCATTGATGATCTTGTGTGTATTTAAAATTGGGCTATACAGCTAAGGAGTGTAAACATGAACAGTTGAAATAGTTCAATTAGATCTGAGAAATATGTGATTTGAGCAAATCACCAAATGTTTTATCCTCTCCTCCGATGTTTGCTCTGATGCACACTGGGGTGAGAGTGTGGTAAACAAAAGAGTCTGGGCTACCCTGCTGGACGAGCTATGTAACGACAACATTTAAGGGCCCAATGGTCTACAAACAAGGAGCTGAACTAACTGTTGGAATTAGATTTTTAGAAAACACCAAAAAAATCAGTGACTTTAATCACAAAAGTTAATGCAAGAATTTAATGTGATTAATGGCAACTGGTCTCAAACTTATTAGAAATAAACAAAGGTATCAGAAACTTAACATTGTTTCCAGTAAGTGGCAGAATATGTCCATGTGATAGAAATGTTGTATATGTTGTATCTGTGTATTCCAAAGTGGAAGCTCAGTGTAAGAACCCTCACATCGCTGCTTTCTGTCACTCGCATCTAATATGCGAACAAAAGACAAAGCAGCGTCTCCACTGAAATTAAAGCTGACAGGCACTTTCCCCGCACACCAGCACACTGGCAGAGGCATCACGTTAAATGTCAGACACAGTGTCAGACACTGCTGTCAGGACCAAGACAAAATGAACAACCCTGTGGGCCTCCTCGTCTTTTCCCCCTGTGAGGACTCACAGATGTGCACCTTTTCATCTCTTTGGTCTGAGAGTACGTTTGCTCTCTGGGATGTTTTGTATTTTTGTACACCTTCCAGATTGCGATTTCTGGGTTTAGTATCTAGTTATTATATTATTGCATGAAAGGAGACGTGAGTGGCAGACAGAAATGCCCAATGCTGTTAAAGAGAAGAAAGAACATGAAAGAAGAAGTGCAGGCAGATGTGGATGTGATTTGGGAAACAGCCTCTGTTTCCATGGGTGTTTAGGCTTTGAAGCTGAGCACTTTAGTGCTAACTGCCCTGTTGGGCATGCTCTTTCAATGCTCTCTCAATCTCCTACTCTTGCAGGTCCAGAGATTGCTGCTCTGTCAACACATCCACACAATGCTCAAAAAGCTTTCAGAGAATAATGAAGTTCCCCTCCGTTCGCCTCCTCTCCACTGTGGGAACACGCAGAAGCGGCAGCTCAGTAACACAATGTGACAGACGGCAAAGTGCTTCCACACAAACACACTGACTACTTGGCTTAGTGAAGCATTCGTCTATTAGTGCGCCCTCCTTATCTGGCACGGAAACACTTGTTCACACGCGATAAAAAACAACAACATATCTCTTAATGAATTTTCATCTCAATGTTTCAAAGGCTCCCAAACATTCCTGAATAACCTCCGCATCCGCACTTACCTTTGTCTTCCCGTCCTTCTCTTCCCACGCTCGCTGAAAAAGTCTGCTCAGGTCAGCCGCGCAGAGGAAACCGAGCGGGTCCAGCAGAGAGAGCGAGACTGTGATGAGCAGATGCAGATAGGAGACACGAATGGAGGGGGGGGGAGATCTGGCAGTGTGCAAATTGGATGATGAGTAGGAAGGAAGAAGGGAAGGAAGGAAAGAGGAGGTGGATGGGAAAGGTGGGGGTCGGAAGTTGGGAAGGGGGGGGGGGGGGGGTCCCAGGTGCCCCGGGTAGGAATATGACGCGGAGGCAGCAACCAGAGCCACTTCTCCTCTCTCCTCTCACCCCTCCATACCCACCGAGAGGGAGGACTGAGGGGGGAGAGAAAGAGAGGGCACTGTAACCATGGCAACGGCAGAGCAGCGGTAGGTAGCTATTTGGGAGAGTGCTGGGGCACAGTGGTGCTCCTCTCTTTCTCTGTTGCGCTCGCACACAGACAGACAGGCTCCTGAGGCGCCCGCAGATGTACAGTCCACGGAGCCTGTGACACAGAGGAAATCCAGCCGGCTCCGGTTCATTCGGACATGGCTGCTAATCAGAAGCAGACTGGCTGGGCCTGTTGTGACTCGAGAAACTCCAAGGAGGTGGCTGCAAGGAAGCACAAGTTTGGCATACGGTTAATGCAGAAAGAACAGTAAGCGGCTGGCACAATCACACCAACCAGAGAACAGCTTTTGTGTCAGGAGTGTATTCTAACACCATAGATTGTTTTATTTCCTGTCCCTGCATTAAGGGCAGGACAAGGACAATGTGAAGAACTGCAAATGCAATCATTTTATTAGACCTCTCTGGTGGGATTAAACTGGGTCAAATACAAAAGAGGAATGATAAAGAGATGAATGAAGAGATTAGTAAACAGCATAAACTACAGTATTTCTGTGTAACGGATGAAGATCAGCATTAGAAACAGCACAGTCTTGCAGTGGTGAAGAAGAGAGACAACAATGTGGCATTCAAAGTCAAATGGACTGGTTAGCTTAATTCATTCATTCCACACAAAAAAGAGAAGCCACTTACTGCAAGATCACAGTATCATCAATTTGTGCAGAGCTGGGTTTTTGGACGCTGGGCTTTTGGACACAACACAGTCTCCAGCATAGAGTTTGTTTTCAATGGATGCTCACTCAAACTTCCCCACAATATGCGCATTAGCCCAGACCCACTCAAGAGACTGAAAAATGAAAGTGGGGATGGGTCGATGCCTTTGCTTTTGTTATAATCAAACACAAGATAATAAATAGCAAATGGAAAACACAAACAGATGAAGTGGTTTTCCACAACGGGAGACCACAAAATGAGTTACGTGTGCTGGTGGCTGCTATTTGGGTTGGCTCACCTCTAATCCATTTCTGTCTGTGGGACACGGGGAATTGCCTATGGCTTAATCTAAGGCATGCAATGCGAGTGGCAATGAGAAATGCATCAGTCCTCTCTTTTGTGGTTGACCCAGTTTAATCCCCGCTTCCTTTCTGCCTGTTTTCTTCTCATTCGTTAAAGCTTTCTTTCAGGTATGACTTCACACAACAAAAATATTTCAGTATCTCTGTTGGTTCCCGTTATCTAATTAATATCTGCACTGAGCATGATCTTTAGTTTCCCACCAGGGAACCATATTCTCATTTGTGATAATCCTTTGTGCAAATTTCATTTTGTATGTGACTTTCCCCAGAGACTAAGTCTTTAATCAACTTTTTCCTGATATTATTTTTTAAAATGTTGACTGAACAAGCAAAACTTGTAAATGCAGTTTAAAATGTTTTGCAATTGTCGGCTGAATACATAAGTCTGCTTCTATCCATAGTTTGTTAATAATATCTAACTGTGAAATAATATCTAACTATCAAATAAACTATCAGAATAAATCAGTTAGAACCTGCAACTGTATGACAGTTATGATTTATTACTTACATAGCCCGTCAAATTTGACACAATTGGTATCATAAGTAGACTCCCGATATACTCCTGTGACCACATGAATTTTTGAAAAAAACAAATATATACTTAAATACAATATAATTCCAAAACAACGTAGGGATGACGAAACAAAACCATGCATACATTTCATTGTTTAATAATTGATCAGTGTTTTTGTGTAACTGCAAGAGTAACCATTATGGAAACAATTGCATGTTACCCTGTTTAAAAGCATATTTCTTTTGGCAAGAAATCCTTGCTGTATTATTTTACCTAGGCAGTGAAAATCCTAACCAAAACTGTATGAAAGCAGATGTAAAGAACCCAGTGTGTTACAAGAACTATCCAAACTCCTTTGGAAATATGTTATTTTGAATACTGTTTGAGGGTTTTTTTTCAGCATTATCAAAGTTTCTCACAGATGTTTCTTATAGTCGTTGCACTCAACAGTTACTTAGTACCAAAAAACAATTCCATGGCCATGCCACTTTTATTTTAGCACTGCCCTATGGCTACGATCATTTTTAGAATAATTCTGGGCTCCTGGGTCAGTCCATACCGACCTTACATGTGCATTTTGTAATATTTTTTTTTACAGCAGATTCGTCAAAACCATAATCAAGAACATGCAGAAGGCAGGAATGTGATGGCTTTTTTCATCAGCTGCAAACTTTATTGAGGATGAGCACTGCACAAATGAGACAGAAAAATAAATCCGTCTCCAAACAGTCTTTTCAATAGAATAATCTAATAGAAACATTAATAAAACATAGAGGATGGAATGTGGACAGCAAAAAACAGAACTCAATTGATTGCTCATGTAACAGGTGCAGACAACTCTGCAGGGAAGACAACACGACGGTCTCTACTCGTGGAAAATTACAAGCAAAAGCATGACTTTGTACTACACATAGTAGATTTAAAAACATGGGCGAATATTGAGTTTTAAAAACAGCAGCGGCCGCCTTGGAAAGTTCCACCCATTAGCCCCGGTGGACGTTTTGTTCGTCGGAACTACAGGAAAACGTCATCACGCAATCCTTGACCCTCGGCGTCATTTTACGTCATTTTGCCGGGAACGATGGACCACGTGTCCCCCGCCGGCGTGCCTGTTCCTCCTCTGATTCACTATTTCATTCCGAAACGAGTCACGGCAGGGAGTGGGCCCGCAAGATGGCGGCGCGGTGGGGAGCAGGCGAGGATATTCTAACAACGTGCAATATGGACTTTTCCACCATAGAAACACTAGACCAGGTACGGAACGTGACGCTGGGGTTTGTGTGGCGGCGCGTGCCTTTCACCGTTACCGGCTCCGCGTGTGTTGAGACGGAGAAGTTGAGCTTGTTGGGTGCACGAGCTGGGCACTGCTCACAGAAAAGTGACACGTGGATGCTACCGTGGTATCACTAAAACTTATTTAAAAAATAGCTGCTGTTTGGGAACCGTGACGCTTTGAGAACTCTGGATTATGTTCACTAGCCGATACTGCATTGAGGACATTTTAGCTGGCTTATTGTTTGCTTGTGAGTTGGCATGGCGTGGTCAATTGGTTTGAATTTTTTTTTTTTTTAAAGCAATTTCCCAGTTTAAGAATCCAGACGTTTTCCACGGAATATGAAGTGACAGTTGTATGTTGCTTTCGCTTATAGTACTGTCATGAGGGTTAATTGTGTTATTTGTTTGAGGAAATAATGTTGAAGCTAATGTAATTGGTTTTGTGTACAATTCGTTCTACACATGGTAATAATCCCCGAGTTTATATTATTTTCAGTCACAGGTGTCTCTTTTCAAAAATATATGTTTTTGTATTTGAATCAGCTGCTGTTTCACTTGTGGTGGAAGTGTAGTGGACAGGCTAAAGGCCAGCGCATTGCAGCAGTGTGTCATCAGTTCTGTGGTGTTGTACAGTTATTAGAGGCCTCCATAAGTGTGCATGTGTACATGTATATGTGTGTATACACTTCTCTCAGTGATAGACACATGTGATTGCCAACTCTTACTCTGATGTTTCTGTGAAAACTTTCATTCAAAACCTTCGTATCCGTGTGTGACCACATGTGGTTTACGAACGGTAAAATCACATGTTGGGATTGTTGGCGCATGCGCAGCTGGTAGTTAAACCTCCACATAAGTCTATATTGCCCATTTCAGGAAAAGTCGTTTATGCTGCTCCAGTTCTTTCTAAAAATCCGTAAAAAAAAAATTGTACAGCGGCATATATAGTTGATTTGTATTTTAAAGCCATAGAAAGGAAAAGGGATGAGGCCCTGTTCTGGTTTGTTGTAGTGTAACACGTGGGATGGTTGGCCCCCCTTTGGACGGCGTTAGGCGAGGATCAAACATGTCTGCTCCCACTGTGAAGACACAAACACGTGGATCACTATAAGGGACTGCTTCCTGCTTAGATGAATACACTTTAAGATGGATATATGGGGATCATCAATTAAACTTTAACAATTCTGCACCAAATGGGTTTAGATATCATTTTAAACTTGTGTTTAAAGTATTTATAACGTTTTAGGTTTATTGATTTTACAATTTCAAGATTATAATTACAGAATTTGTATACTTTGGTTTGCAACAAATATAACTATGGTGGTAGCATGTTTTAAGATTTATCTGTGTATGTGGCATTATAAACTGAAGTGTCCTGCCTGTTCTCCAGGTGGCTGGCCTGAGCCCTGGAAAAGCCCTGGAGGCTCTTCAGAGCTGCTCAGACCCCTCCATTCTCTCCATCTTCGAGGACATGCCAGCAATAGAGGTAATTACGCCCCAGTTTTTCGGTATGAAAACAGATACAACTTTTAAAAGTTGTTGATTTGATACGATTGTTTTCTGATTGACTTTGTTTAGGCTAAAGCACTGGACGAGGAGAGCGAGGCCACACTGCTGTCGGCGCTGACAGAATTCCTTGACGATGTCGATCATAACAACTTGTCACCATTTGAAACGCTGCTTGACTCAGACCTGTTGTCTCATCAGAAGTGCAAGGAGCTCTCTCCGGTCAGTACCAAGTCGTTGGGCCTGAGGCAGAGAATGGAGGGTTGAACTCTGTGACTCCTAATATGCCACTTTCCCACTGGTTTGAAGTAAACAAATTGTCTCATTTTAAATTGATGTGTCCCACTCCAGCCCAGGAGAATGCTGTGCGTGTCTCTTTCATCTCAAGAGAAAGACTCAGTATGTAGTGTAAGACCATCAGCTGGAAAGGTACGTTATCCTTATCACAGAATCTGTGTGAACTGGTGCTGCTAACAGTTTGAAGTTTAAACAGGATTTTTGTTGTTTCCCTGTATTTACTTAGAGCTTATCCAGGATGCAGGCTTGTTCTGTTCAAAGGAGTGATGGTGAGGAGGAGGATGGCTCCCTCACTCTGAGCCCAAACGGGCAGGATTCATTTCCTGACCAGCTCGAATGGGAACGTCTTACACTCCCGCTTCCCATCACGTTTGAGCAGGACGGTGAAGATGGCCTCTCAGTGAGCCTCGGGGACTTTGTTACACATAGGCACCACAACTGTATTGCCATATGTGTGGAGGATGAGGAGGGGGAGCAGATTTTGCCTGAAGGAGGTATAATACTTGAAGTTGTGGACCAGGGTGAAAATGGAGAACCCATCCTGGCCATCCCAAACATGGATTTCCCTGTGTCTGTGGAACAGATGTCCCCAGAAAATGAGCAGAAAAGTTTACATGAAGCAGCAGAAGAGGCCAATGACAGTTCAGAGCATATAGTTGTTGATGACGATGATTTAACCACAAATAAGACGGCCGCAGTGACACCAGGCCCATGTCCAGGTATGAGAAACGAAAATTCCACGGCGAGACAGGAAGAACAGATCAAAACAAACCGCACCTCACGGAGAAAGAAAAAGAAGAAATGCAAAGAAAAGGAGCAGCTGCCTCAGCCTGCAGAGGAAAGAGTCCTTAGGAGTGGTACCGTAAGAAAGATGGCACAAGAAACACTGAAAAAGCCTGCAAAAGAAAAGAAACGGGCGGCCTCAAAGGTTCTTGTTACCTCAGCACCGAGCTCCTTCCCTTCGAAAGCGAAAGAAATGAAGCCATTCGAAACACAAATGCAAAAAGAAGACAAAATGAATGCCCATCAGCATGAGTTGAATGAAAAGGCCGAGCTGCTACGGTCTTCCAAACGGGAAGCACTTCCATCTAGTGCCACCCCTGAGAAGGGTCAGCCTATCGGTTCAGTCGCAGCCGAGAGGGCTGAGCGTCCCTGTCCGACTCCACAACCACCCGCAGCCCCTGTTGAGGCAGAGGTTTCATCAGCAGCTCCCTCTGCCCCCCAGCCGTCTGTAACTCCAGAGAGCTCCGCAGCTAGTCCCAGCTCGGCGACCCCTGAGCCCCCAGCCCCTGTGAGCGTGGCCCCGCCGGCCCCAGAGCCCAAGCCAAAGTCGCTCAGTCTTGAGGAGTACCGCCGGCTTCGGCAGCAGAAACGGCCGGCCCTGGTGGGCAAGCCAGACGGCAACAGCACCAAGTGGCCCAGCCTCCCCGAGCCTCCCAAAGAGCTGCCCCCTATTCCCTGCCTGCCCGACCCCAGCCCAAAAGACCCGAGGCGTGCCAACACCCAGGCGGCGAAGAAAGAGGTGGAGATGGCCCGGCCTGCCTGGCAGCCTCGGGGGCCAGCCGCACCCCCCACCCCAGAGGCGCTGCTGGTGCCGCCAGCCTACATGATTTCATCCTCCAGTAAAGTTCCCCCCGCCGCTCTCCCCAAACCACAACACACACCTGACCCTTCAAAACAGCCCCCCCCGGCCCCCGTCTCAGAGAAGAGCAGTGACGAGGCCCCGCGCCCACACACCGGCGCTCGGCCAGCATCAGCCGCCGGGCCTCAGAACCCTGCACCCCCGGCCTCTTTACCACCGGCTACCCTGCTCGCACCTTCCGCAAATGGGACTCGTTCGTCCGCTCTTGGAGTGAATAACAGAGCCGATGCACTTCCCCAGCCCCAGTTTGGATCCAAAGAGTCGGTTCAGCTGGCTGGAATCTCCCCTGGAACCATGACGGATAGGATCAAAACCACTGCTGCTGCTGCCGTTTCACCCAGTGTGCCTGCGGTCGCCTCTTCTGCCCCAACAAACAAGCCCGTCGCATCTGAAAACAGGTCCTCCAGACCACCTGTCGGTGGTACCAAGCCTCTTCCTCCTGCTGCTTCCTGTTCTAAATCCCCATGTCCAACGAAACCTGGTGTGCTTGAAACTAAAGAGAAACCCACTACAGCTGTGAAGCCCCAAAGAGGAAAGAGTGCCACACAGGAGTTGATTGAAGCGTTCACAACTGAAATAGGTGTGTTGAAATCTGGTCTGAGCTCAGGAATGGCCTCACATTTTCTTTTTATGTGTATTGCTATGCACGTGTTCTCGGTAATTCGTTCCTGAACATGGGGAAGCTTAATTCGCGTGTCGTGGAATGTTTTGTAGGTATCGAGGCTGCCGATCTGACCAGCTTACTGGAGCAGTTCGAAGAGACCCAAGGTAATTGTAAAAGGCCCACTTTTTGTTTGACTTTTGTCCAGATTGACGGCGTGTGAGCCTGAGTGCTTTTACCCAACGGAACGAGTACCGTAGCCACAAAAACAATGTGACCTATGGTACAACAATATCAGGTTGTTTATGGAGCTTATCTGGTCCTAAAGACGTGTGCTTAATGTGTACATTCGTGGGTAGTTAGTGACTGTATACACCGTCAGGATTTGGCTTTAGTGAAACATTCCCCTTTAAGAGAGGTGGCTGCTGCAGGAAACAGAGACGCTGCTTTGTACTCTTGTGTGCTCAGCCGCTGGAATTCTGCCCTGTCCGCAGATCCATTTAACTCTCATCCTGCTGTCTTTGTTTGGGGGATGTTCTTGTGCCCAGCATATGATAACAAGTGGTTGAGCTGTGTCCTGTAACTCCTGGTGGAGCTTTGATTACCCAGTCATGAGATTTTTGTGGCAAAAAAAAAACATAACATGAATGCTTTGGGCCAACATTTCTGACCACACAAACTTGGACTTTTTTACTTTTCCTTTTCCACTCTGGATTTCCTGTCACTTCTATCTGCTCCTGTGCCGATGCACTGATATCCCTGTTCCCTCTTCCTTCAGCCAAAGTGGAGCAAAATGTGCCGGAGGTCTGTGGTAGAGCAGCAGCTGTAGGAAACTCGAGGTGAGTTACCCTACAGCCCTCAAGCTGCTCAGTGTGATGGAATTTTTTTAATTTATTTTTTTATCTGCTGGATTGCAACCACTTGGTTAGTGTATGCAGATGTGACGCAATCAAACATTTTGCCAAGACCTACCGCAAAACCCCAGCCCCCCCCCATCCCATTCTCTTATAATCTAAGTTCAGTCCAAGCAGAGCAAAGCGGTGTGCCACTAATGCACTCTGTGCTTTCTTTGCAGTACTGTGTTGGTTCCAGAGAAATCTATCGTGGAGCGTGTAAGAGCTAATGACCTCTCGAGCACTGCAGGTAGCTGAGCTTGAATGTATTTGAAGAGTCTTTTCAAAAATGTTTATTTTTGTCTTAAGGTGTTGCCTTTGTAATCTGCATTTAGGCCCGGTGCATTTTTTTTTTTGTCTGAAATCTTTGTAAATCACAGATAGTGAATGTTGTTTGTGCCTCTCTTCTCTAGCTCTTACTCCTCCAGCCACTCCTCCCCACCAGATGTGGAAACCTCTAGCCCCCCTGTCTCTACTTGGAAAGAGCAAGGCTACTGAGGCCACCAAGTCGAACCCCTCGAAAGTTATCCAGATAGAAGCGAAACCCCTCCCCTCTGTCAGGTCCCGCAGTAAAACCGCCCCCACTGATGCCGCTGTAAGTCCCCATCTGGCATCCATGGATCACGATTATTGCCTTCCCAACAAATGCCCTTCCGATGGCGAGCAAGGCAAACGCTGGAATGTGAAACAACAATCTTTCATTACAATTAAGCCCATCAAGCAACAAGCTCCCACCACAAAACAAACGCCCCCAACCCTCTCGGCTTCATCTCCCCAGTCGGCTAATCCGGTGGTTTTAACCAGAACACAAGATACTCCTCAAGTTGAGCTCTTGGAGAAGAGGAAGTGCGATGGGCCTGCTGACAGCTCTGTTCTGGAGACTCCAGACACGTCTCCTGCCAGGCAGGAAACTGAATGTGCTTTAAAAGTCAGGAGCCCGAGGAGAGGGCCCTCAGAGCGCTCCTATCGCCAACATGCTTCTCCACGCTCACCCAGCCCCAGGTTTAGTCCCCAAGAAAGATCCAGGGGCCGATACAGGAAAAGATCTCACCACTCTCCAAGCTCCATGTCCAGCTGCTCAGAATCATACTCTTCAAGGTCTAGATCTCCAGCAAAGAAGAGGTTGGTCCCACAGTCTGAACACCCTCTTCATTCATTTGTATAAAACTCGTATTACGATGTTGTGAATTTTCTTCTCACGCTCCTTTTTTTTTTTTTTTTTTTTTTTTTTTTTCTTCCCCCCCCTTTTTTTTTTTTTTTTTTTTGTCTGAAGGTTTCGACCCCGACACTCGGGTAGCAGTTCCAGGTCCTCATCCCGCTCCTCTTCCCGGTCCTCTCGCTCCGTGTCCCGCTCTCCTCTGAGGAGGAGGAGGAGGTTTTCCTATTCTTCCTCCCGTTCTGGCTCCTGGAGTCAGTCCAGATCCCGGTCCCCGTCTCCTCAAAGACGAACCCAGCGGGATAGGAGCAGACGATTATGCAGGTAGACTATGTGAACCCTGCTTACGCAGTTAGTAGATGTCATTACTTAAGTTGTAGGTTACCAGTATTTTGACATTATTCAAATTAAATCGCATAAAGCCCCATCTTTTTTATTTGTTTTTTTTTTTTTAGTCCCTCATATACACATGGTTATGGTCATGGTGCAGATGTGGAAGAGATGAAGAGGCGTAAAGAGAAAGCCATCGTAAGTAAATTCATTTCAAGCGTACAGTGCTCTTACCGAATACATGGTATCCCACTAATCCAACACCGTTGTCTCTCAGGAGGAGCGTCGCATTGTTTACGTTGGCCGAATTCGAGGAACAATGACCCAAAAAGAACTTCGGGAGCGTTTTTCTTTATTTGGTGAAATTGAAGAATGTACCCTGCACTTTAGAGACCATGGGTAAGTACATCCGCAGCAGGGAATCTGCACTGTCTTTGAACCTTCTTGGTCCTTCCTGTGACCTTTAAGGCCAAGCTACAGTGCTATAGTGACTTGAAGCTTGTTCATAACTGGGGCCTCCTGGCTACACCCCAGGTTGCTCTTTTAAAAGCAAGCTACATCTGAAAACTATGGACAGAACCTGGACTGTCCCCTCTTGGTTTCTTGTAAGACCAAGGCGAGTCTCTGATCTCTAGCTTCTTTCCACAGGGATAACTATGGGTTTGTGACTTACTACGACACCAAGGATGCTTTCACAGCCATTGAGAATGGAAGCAAGCTGCGCAAACCTGATGAACTACCATTTGATCTCTGTTTTGGTGGAAGGAGACAGTTCTGCCAGACCAGCTATTCAGACTTAGGTTGGTATGGCTTTGAATTACAACCACAACAAAAGCTCCTGTATCTCTTACTTCTCGTTATACAGACTTTTTCCATCTAAAATTCTGTTCTACAGTAGTGATTTTGACAGTAAGGTTAATCTTTACATTGTGCAAATGAAATGTAGCATGTTGTGATGTGAATTCTCCTTTTTTTTTTTCAACATCCAATTACAGATTCGAGTAGAGAGTACGAACCATTGCCCACAAAAAGCAAGTTTCATGCACTAGACTTCGACACTTTACTGAAGCAGGCTCAGCAGGGTTTGAAGAGGTAACAGGAGGCCTGCAGCAGGAAGCAGCTGACATTTACCTCAGAGCGACACGGGTGGTTTTGCACCTGCAACCCTTTGTTTTAGTTGTTGGATTATTTTTTGTTTGTTTGTTTACAAAAGCTAACAACTTCTATTGAAGTGGAAATTTATAATGAAACTGGTAAAAGCTTAAAAAAATTGAGTAAATGGAAAAGTTTTTTTTTGTAAGTTTATTTAAACATACAATTGAATTGAAATTGTATGGGAAGAATTGTTTTAAAGGGGTAACAAATGAATGGAATTAAACTCCCTGGTTATTGGGAATGATAATTGGAAAATATATCTACATGTGCTACAAAGCTTAATAAAGCAAAACAGAAACATTCTGTTTGTCATCCAGACTGGCTCCCTGTCATTTGTCTGTTTTTAAATCGGAGGTTGTGGTGTCTGTTCATTAAATAAGTACATTTGCAGCTATTCAGTTTAAGAATGTTTGAAATTGTATGAAAGCTATTGAATAACTATGTTGGCCATATTTACCAAAGTTTAACATATCAATAAATGCATTACATAGACCTCAAGTGATTCTTGACCATTCTGACTGATCGGTTTTGTTATTCTGTTGTGGACAGTCATCATGCCAAACTTTTTGATTTGTTAGGAAAAAAGCTAAGTGAAACCTTTTCATTGCAATGCCATGGGTCAATTAAATGTCACACGGGGCCAACAGACAATAAGTGAGATAGCTATGGAGAAACTCACTGGAATAAAACCTAATTTCTGTTAATCTAGTCTATTCCTTTGGACCATCACAATTATAAATTGTCCAGTGGTTTGCAGTCATAACATTGTAACACAGAGGGGCCGGTTTTATTTAACAGCGAATATTAAAACAACTTGTTGAAAGAGCACAAACAATGTTGCAAATGTATAACTTTTACACTTGCATGGCACTTGCACTACTTTTTCAAAGCACATTATTATTGCTGACATTACTTTAAAACACTATGGTCAATAGTACCCCGTTAGTTTAAATGTTCTGTATTGAGGCCAACCGCAAACATAAGATGGAGGGGGATCTCAAGATATACGGCTCTTGAGATGGACAACTCAATAGTCATTTAAGAAAGTAATAATAGCTATTGTCGCTATTTTTTAAATTTTGCAGCCTTCGTGTGAAACCCTGTCATTTTGTAAAACGTACTGATATTATTTGTGCTCTTGAAATAAGTGGAACATATTTCAAGTCATAATTCGCAGATCAATACGTATATTTGTTCTACTGGTTAAACTTAAGAGCGCACGCGTGATTGTCAACATCTGAGTTAGAATGTTTAATAAAGTAAGTCGATTATTACAACCAAATAAAAGCTAAATATATTTCTAAATCCTTGTCTCTGGTTAAGGCAGCCGAGCGTGGAGGGATGTGAATGTTAACAATTTTTTTGCTCCTGTGAAATTTGCCCCTGTGTAGTGTTTTGTCACGTCAATCCAGTTTTGACTGGTTTGAGCCAGTCCCATGAGCATGCGTACTCGGTGTAAACAGGAAGAGCCGTCGAAAAGTAGGTTAAATTTGCCATAAAGAGAAGGGAATGGTCGGACAGAAACGGGCAAGCTTAGCCATTTTTTCGGGTATCAACCAAAGCTAATGATTTTCTTCACCACTTGACAGAAAATTCGTGTATGGTTATTTATTCAGTGACTGTATTTTGGAAGAAAAATACGTACTCGCCGAAACCGTACGCTTGTCAACGACAGACGGAGAGTGCCGCGATTTTTACCCCCTGTTCTGCTGGACACATCTGCAAGCTAACCCTACCATTAACAGTTTTTCCAAGCTCTCTAGATTCTCGTGGCTTTATTGAGTAAGATAGAAAACAATGGTTCAAAAGGAGAAGGCGTTGGAGACTCCGCCATTAGACGTTGAACAGAGCCCCAGCCCAGTCTCCGGAGAGGCTTGTGTGGAGGCCCCGGGCCCAGCGGAGGATTCCGGAATTGGTGTCGAATCAACGGGACACAGAAAATTCATTAGCGGAGTTGTGGAAGGTAATGCCGAATCCCCTTTTATATAAGCGTAAAATGTATGTTGATTGGGAAGGGGCAGAAGTAGGGCGTCGAAATGGTGCAGCAGATCGAACCTGTTAGTTTCGGAGGGGGGTGGGGTGTTTATTGCCATCCTTGTAATAAAAACTGTTAGATGGCGATATTGCATTGCCTTCACGAGTATTATGTGCTATAGTATCTGCCTTGTGTGGTACATTATGATGTGGATATTGTAAGAAAAGATTAGTCGTGAACTGAATCCGTCTTTTTTATTATTTATATATATATATAAATAAATAACACAGTCAGGTAAATACGGCACTGCAGCCTGCATGGATACTAAATATGTTTTTTCCCTTTTAGGCTTTTATGGTCGACCATGGACCATGGAGCAAAGAAAAGAGTTATTCAGAAGGTAATCTGAGAGATATATTAGTGTTTATTTTGTTTTTAATTTTTTCTAAAAATCTAACTGTGATTTTGGTTCTGATACTGACTATTTATGACACTAAAATTCCCAGGCAGCAGAAATGGGGTCTGAGCACATATCTTTACGCACCCAAAGATGACTACAAACACAGAATGTTCTGGAGAGAACTCTATTCAGTGGAAGAAGCAGGTACTTGCAAGCACTACTTCGAACACCTTTAGGATAAGCTGCCTGGGACAAGGAACATGGTTTATACTTGTGACTTTTATTTTGGATAATGATGCTTTTTCCCCTCTTCAATTCAACCTATTTTGCAGAGCAACTGATGACATTGATTAGTGCTGCCAAAGAGTATGGAATAGAATTTATCTATGCCATTTCCCCTGGATTAGACATCACCTTCTCAAATCAGAAAGAGGTATCAGCACTAAAGAGGAAACTTGATCAGGTATAGCAGCATTTTGTAAAATATTGTTCTGAACAGTTTTTTCTACACTTTGACATATAATTCCAAGTTGCTGTTTAATTGCTTTAATATCTGTCCCCCCCTTACAGGTTTCTCATTTTGGCTGCAAGTCATTTGCCTTACTTTTTGATGATATTGACCACAATATGTGCCCTGCCGACAAAGAAGTATTCAGTTCTTTTGCACACGCTCAGGTTTCTATTACCAATGAAATCTACCAATACCTGGGAGAGCCTGAGACCTTCCTCTTCTGCCCCACAGGTACATTCACTTTAAGAATCTGTTCGCATCTTTTCACAAATCATTGAAACTGCTGGTTTATTCATTACTGTTTTTATCTAAATAAAATGCAGAGTACTGTGGAACCTTCTGCTACCCAAATGTGCCGCAGTCCCCGTACCTTCACACAGTAGGAGAAAAATTGCTGCCCGACATCGATGTTTTATGGACAGGCAAGTGTAAAAGTTTCAATTAAATGGTTGACCACTCCTTCCATTATCAAGCATACATGCGAAAGTCATTAATTAAACTTTTAATCGGGGTATGCTGTTTTTCTGTAGGGCCCAAAGTGGTGTCCAAAGACATTCCAGTGGAGTCTATTGAGGAGGTGTCAAAAATCTTAAGAAGAGCCCCTGTAATCTGGGACAATATCCATGCCAATGATTACGACCAGAAGAGGCTTTTTCTTGGTCCTTACAAAGGTCGCTCCACAGAGCTCATCCCCAGACTGAAGGGGGTTCTCACCAATCCCAACTGCGAGTTTGAATCAAACTTTGTAGCAATCCACACTTTGGCCACATGGTACAAGTCCAATATGAATGGGGTTCGCAAGGATGTGGTCATGAGTAAGTATGGCCCAAAGTGGTCATTTATGGATCTGTATCATGTGTGTCTCTGTTTAAAGTTGCAGTATGTCTTTCTTTATAAGTCACATTATCTTGCGTCCTTTCAGCCGATGGGGAGGATAGCACCGTGTCCATCCAAATCAAGTTGGAAAATGAAGGCAGCGATGAAGAACTGGAGACAGACATGCTGTACAGCCCACAGCTTGCTCTAAAACTGGCTCTTGCAGAGTGGCTTAGTGAATTCGGTGTGCCTCATCAATACAACAGTAAGAGAGATCTCTGTGTTATTTTTTACATTGATATCATTTTCAAATGTTAGTGGAAAATTCATTGCTGATATTCAGAATAAATTGCAGCAACGCTCTATTCTCTCAGGCCGACAGGTGCCTCAAAGTGGTGCGAAAAGCACAGTCATCAATGTATCCTCTATGGTGGCTCCCTCTCTCTGCTCTTCTACGTCAGTCACAACTGTGTTCCAGCAGCCCATCATGTCGCCAGCAATTCCCCCCCTTTGCCTGGATCCTCTCCCACACCCCATGACAAAAACACCTCAGGAGGAAGAGGAAGTAAGGGTTATGGTTTTTTGCTATCTTGACACATCATCAATGTCTGTTGTTGCCTTGAATTTATACTCCAATACATTCATGTTGCTAAGAATATCTTAATTACTTTTATTTTCAGGTGGAGGTTGAAAAGAAGGATTCAGATGAGGAGCCCATGGAGATGGTGGTTGAGAAGCAGGATGAACCTGAAGCAGGGGCTGATCCAGAGGAGAAAAACATTGTTCCCATCTTGGCAGACAAAATGTCAGAGGACTTAAAGCCAATGGACACGGACAAGGAGAGTCTGGCAGAGTCCAAATCTCCCGAGGAGTCAATCCAAGAAGACTGTGGAAGTGATATTGCCCCCATGCAGACAGATGATCAGCTCAAACAGGTACTGCTAAAACTTGTGAGTGTCTTTTTTTTTTTTACATTAAATACTTAAGACAGGATCTCATTACAATCGACTCTTTGGTTCATGTGATGGCCTGTGTGTATTTGCAGGATATTTTTGTACCTGGGCCGGATGAGAAGCCACTGTTCATGGCAGAGCCCCTGACACTTGAAGACTTGTGCTTGCTGGCAGAGCTCTTTTATCTGCCTTATGAACATGGACCCAAAGCCATGCAAATGTTAAAGGAATTCAACTGGCTGAGAGCAAACAGCAGTGTCGTCAGTGTCAACTGCAAAAGAAAGGAAAGTGAAAAGGTTAGTTCATGTCTGAAATGAGCTAGATGGGGTTTATCTACCAAAACAAGTACATTATTAATTGAACTAGCTGGTGATGGTGGTGGAAGCAAAATGGTGGATGTGCAATACCTTTACTGGTCAGTGGGTGGTGTGGTTACATCAATGGACTTGTGTTTACAGCACAACACAATGAGACATTAAACATCATTTAACAGTTTGTCTTATAAATCCACTTGCCTTTCTCTCGAAATACATTATGACATCTCCCCGTGGGAATGCACAGGCACAGACAGATGATGATGTCATGGCTAACAAAAACCGCCAGACCTTAAAGGTTGGTGCTATCCATCTCTTGTTAAATCTCAAACTTTGTGTTGCACTCAGGTTGCAGAATGGCAGCTGCGAGCTGAGAAGTTTGAGGAGATGTGCTGCTCTGTCATCCATATGTTCACACGACTGTCTAATACAGCCAACCGCACCATCCTCTATGACCTCTACCCTTACATTTGGGACATCAAGAGCATCATTTCTATGGTCAAGTCTTTTGTTCAGTGGCTAGGTATGTATCAAAGAAAGCTCAAAGCCATTTATTCTTATAAAGCACAGGTTTAGCACCAAGTTTGGTAAACAGAACTTTTTAATCTCAGGGATACATTTTCATTCAAATAAGTAAATGGTTTTAAAAATCTCATATTAGATAAATAATTAGGAATAGAAATCTATCTGCATGGTATATTTCAGGGCTATTTGGTTCAGGTGAAAATTTTATTTAGCACATTTTTCAGTCTGCTGGACTGATAATAATATTTCCTATTAAAGATAATGGGCATTACCTGCATACATGGTGAGAATTTGCAGTTAATTCCACCATTTTTATGAGATGAGCTTAGCACAGGGCAAGCCAAATAACTCACTTCTCAATAGTTCTGATTCTATGAAATGTTCTTGTTTCACAAATGAAGATCGTTTTCTTTTTTTCATCAGACTGAATGCCGCTTGCACTGCTAGTATCCTGCCCATGTACCCTGTAATGAGCTGCGCCATATTGATATATCTAAATTGGGTCTTCGTGGAAAATACGCCAGCAGGGTTACTGCTGCTTGCTGTGTATCCAGTAACACCACTGCTACATTACCTCACAGACATACTTGCTTCCATTTCTCTGTCTGTGAGGATGGGCAGCAGGGGGAAGTCCCCATCCCCCCTCCATGCCCTAGCGCGCACGCGAGCTTGGAGAGCAAGTTGACTGATTCACTGTGGAAGGCCATTCTGGTGCATAAAGAAAGGATCAGAAATGTTTGAAATGTTTTCCCTGAAGTCTTGCCTCATTGAGTTATCTCCTAGAGGATTTTTAAATTTACCCTCTAAATCATTCGCTCAGTCTGTATCAGAGTGAAGTCCATCATCTCAGAATAGACAGGATTTCTGTCTCTCTTGCCCACCGCGCCCTCACCTATATTTCAGATGGTACGGGCATATGAAATAATGGCCCCACCATTATGGTGCGGCCATTATTGGTGCACTGTGATACAGTTTGAGCGACATATATAGTTGGGATAACGTCTCCAATTGTTTTGGAATGTTGCTTTGATTGCTCCAAAGCACCAGCATGGTCTGTAGGTTACTCCCTGTAACCCAGCTTCATTCACAGGTTTCTGTCTTGTTCAGCTTTATGGTAACGCTGAGGTCTCAGGCCACAGTAGTACACAGCAGCCAGCAAACCCACACTGGACAATCCACATCAGAAATCCACCCGGCAGATTTGAACACTGCCATTACTGTGCCAGTCAATGACCTGGTTATTTTGATATTCCTCCCAGTTACCAAAGAGTACCAAAAAGGTTTCTAAATGCTGACTTGGACTGTTATTAGACTCGCAGTATCCTGCTTATTTTTTATCAGACATCCATTTTTCAATTTATAGAAGCTTTGCAGCCGGCACTTAGTCACAACCTCCCTAGTTATTGTACTGAGAACATTTACTAATAACTATTTTCTACTGTTTTCTCCCTTCATTATGTACAGATGGAAGAATCCACAGTACAAGTTTCTACTGCTATTGGATCGACAGTGGCCGATGTATGCACAGTGCAGGCGTCTTTTGTGTTTACAAATCGGTCTTTGTTTATTTCTTCCTATATTCTTTTTTTTTCGACCAAATCCAAAAATGTACAAGACTGAATTTAATGAAAGGAAGCAGTCCTCCGGATGAAGTCACATCTTGCGCAGCGATTTGGGTTGTATTCCAAGTGTTAACACCCAAATTTTTCTTTGGCAGCACCTCTCTAACTTGTCTTTTTGTTTCTATCAGTAGGCTTATAGAAATGGCTCAGACCAGCCTGATGCACCTACCCAGAGGAACTTGTGCTTGGCTTTGAAATTTAACCATGTCATGTGAAACTCATACTCCTGAGTCATAGTTGTGATTATTATGAGCTCACATCTACAGTGGCTACAGTATGAAAAGGCCAGTGCTCATGTTTAATCGTTATGTTAAAGCAGTCATGATTCAGGTCGAGTTGAAGACACAAAGATCAGTCTTTGTCAAATTCTGTGGTTTTAAATTTCTATAGCCAGACTTGAGTTCCTTCATGTGGGTGTATCTGCCTGCTGTGTTGCCAGCTCTTCACAGGAATTTTGGATATCAATGTGATATTTTTATGTAAAGCAGGGTTAAGTGTCCTGCATGCGCGCTGCATTTGTCTGGTCACATGACAGGGTTTCTTGTCCACCAGGGTTGACTTTGTTGGTAGCAGAGATGTTTTACACATACTCTAAGAGCCCTGTCTGCTTTAGATGTGTGCTGCTCTTTAGCTGTTGTTTCTGTAGTGGTTCATCTGCAGTTTGTTTTGAATGGCGCTTTTACTAGTGAGTTGAGAGGCCCCATAACTCTGCACACTACCTCTCCTTCTGTTGTCCTGGTTTAGAACGACTCATGGTTCCCCGTCATGTGACAAGGCAGATAAGAGGAATGTGACTTCACACGGGGTGCTGAGATCAGTGGGGTGATGGCAGCTAAAGCTTTCTGTTGTGAGCGATAGTCAGCATGGATTTGGCCTCTGGTGGCCATGGTAAAAAATATAATCAGCACTATCCCTCCTGAAGTACCAGGGATGAAAGGACTGTAAAAGCTTCCTTATGTAAGAGCAGTTCAATAGTTAAATGGAGCTGTTTGAGTTCTTGTATTCATTCAGTCATTTCCTACCTGCAGCTGAGTCCTCCAAGCAAGAGATTTAGGTGCCTGAGCCCCATTTTATGAGTTTTTGCTGAGATAATTTATTCATGCCACATTAGGTCCATTTATGTTTAACAATGAAAGCGAAATTAATTAATTTTTTATTAATAATGCTATTAGATACATATTGCCCCTTCATCCCCATCTCCCTACTTCCTTCATCTGTATCAGAGAGCCCCATCCTGTGGTAACAATGTCCGCTTGGCTCTGCTCCTAACAGGGTGTCGTAGTCAGTCCTCAGCACAATTCCTTAGAGGAGACCAAGAGCCCTGGGCCTTTAGGGGAGGTCTAGCAGGAGAGTTCCAGGTATCTAATGCACTGAAATAACAGCAATCTAAATGGAAAAAGAGTGCTGTGAAAACAAAGACTTTGGTATATGTGAAAAAGGTTTTGAGGGGTTTGGTCTGTCAAAGGTGAGCTGATATTTTTGAATCGACAGTATTTGCAACATTTAGGTTTCAGCCCCTTAACTTGTTTTCCAAGAAGGGTTGGGTCCTTCTTTGGATGGACTTTGGATGTTTTCAGACTGTTGGAGAGAAAGGGGTGGTCTGAAATACTTCCTTACAAAAGAGCCTACAGCCCCAGTTTGGCATGGCATTTTCTGATTAATGTTAGTTTCTTTCAGCAACTGCCCAAGGAGGTGCTGCTTTTCCCTGGCGCACGCGGCGCAAGCGAGCATGGCTAGGTTTTATTTTCATGACACCACATTTCTTTGCAGGAAAGCGCATAAATTGCCAAACCAGCCAATTGCACGCGCAAGCATCGCAGCGCCCGCGAGAACGCAAGCATGCACGCAATGAGAAAACTCCATGATTAAACAACCCGTCCAGTATAGAATGTAGTTGCAGCCAAGACTGACATTAGAAAACCTAAAAGCTATTGAGTAAACGCGGCTCATATTTTATTCCCCCTTAGTTTTTTCCTGGAGTTCTCTCTGTATTTCTGCGCTAGCATCATTACTTTTCTCAACAGGAGGGTCCTGCGCAGCGAACTATTGCGATGCTGTACTAAAGGGAAAGGAGCATCTCCTTCAGCCAGTAAAGCCTTAGTCAGACCAAAATGCCAACCTTCAACTATTATTTCTGTAAAGCGGCGTGCACATGATTGTTGTGCTATGTTCATCAAAAAAATGCAGAAGATGTGCCGTTTGCTCTTGTTGTCCACTATCAGATCAACAAGGAACCCGTTTGGAAATGGATGTCGCTTTTAACAGTAGTCGTCTCAAAGCCCTTTGATGAAGTCTGTAGTTCCTTTTGAGTTGATAGTGGTTCAACTCAGCAAATGCACAGAGAGGCAGTCAGCCAAAGTAGCACACCTCATTTTCTCTGCGAAACTGAGTTTGTTTGTTTTGATACCCACAGAGGTTGTTGCCAATAGAAGGAGCAAACGATCTTTTCTACCAACCTCCACCATCTTTGCCAACATCCAAAATCTATACCATAAGGCCGTACTTTCCTAAAGATGAGGTAAGATGCTCGTTGGAGTGGATTGGTGCCTCTTTCCACTTTTTTTTTTTTTCACAATGATGAGCTAAATTACTCAACAGTTGATGTGCAGATTTACTGATTAACCAGATGTGAGAAGTCCCAGAGGAAGAAACCTTTAATTTAAATTGAATTTGCTCTGAATACACAAGTTAAGATTAAGACCGCCATCAGATTACGAGTTTCCAGAACCGCTTCTAGTGTGTTAGTTTGTGTTTTCTTAGTTTTGGTTGTCCATCCGTCCACCGCAGTAACCGCTGTATTCTCTTCTGCCACAGTCTGCAGTCTATAAAATATGTAGGGAAATGTACTGTGAAGGAATGGAGGATGTGCCATTCTCTGAGGAGGATGGGGACCTCGTTGGAGACAGGTAAACATGGAGGTGTATTTGTTCACAATCATCTGAAACTGAGGTTCGCAGAGACTCACTGTATTCTTGCTGCTTGTTCACAGGTTGGTCGGAGGACTCCTGACATTGAGTTCAGACTATGGGTTTGTGCTGGAGGACGATGAGGGGATCTGCGGTTATGCTCTTGGCACAGTAGATGTTAAACCCTTCATCAAGAAGTGCAAGTTGAACTGGATTCCCTTCATGCAGGAGAAATACCACAAACCAGAGGGTGAAAAGGAGCTGACGGAGGCAGAGGTCTGATCTTAATCCATCTATTATTATCACAGCAGCAATATTACCATCCTGCCTTCTCTTTTTTAACTGACTCTACATTCTGCTCATTGTCCTCATAGAAGTTGATGCTTAGTTTTCATGAAGATGAAGAGGGTCTGCCAGAATCCTTCCTCTCCAACTTCCCCTCTCTCATCAAGGTGGACATTCATGCCAACGTCACCGACCCCAGTGTGGCCAAGAGCATGATGGGCTGTCTCTTATCTTCCCTAAAGGCGAATGGTACGCCGCGTCCATCCCTAGTTTGGACATAGAAATAAGAACAATGAGCCTGAAAGCAAAACAAACACTTGCTAGAAGTTTATGCTTTGAACATATTTAGTGCATTCTACGATGTGATGATGGAGTCTTGCTGCTTGTTTTTTTTATTGTTTGTTTCTTTTTTTAAAACCATATCTTCCTTTTCGTTTCAGGATCCCGCGGTGCATTCTGTAAGGTTCGTCAGACTGATAAGCGAATGCTGGACTTCTACAGTAAGCTGGGATGCTTTGAAGTGGCCAAAATGGAGGGCTTTCCCAAAGATGTCGTCATTATGGGACGCAGCCTTTGAGAAATCGCTGTGATAAGTAACAAACAGAAGAGGAGCAGATCGACACAACTTCAATGTTGGCCACCTTCCGGAGGGAATCGTTCATGATGATTTTATACTACATTACCATCTGCTCTCACCTGGGAGACCTTCTTTTTAGGATTTGTGTAAAGCAGCACAGCAGTCGGACACAGATCCCTGTGCTGCTCTTAAATGTTATAGCCCAGCTGGATGTGGCAGGTCCAGTACGGGAAGGTCTGAAGAGAGATCTGTAGTCACTCCACTCATAAATCGAAATCTTGGTTTTTGTTGATTTTTAGGGCCCGTTGCTCGTATACCTGTAGGCACAGAGAGGAGCTGCCTTTGTAAGCATTTTTCTGAGTGCAACCAGGATCCATTATGAGGATCAAGCTCCCCTCTAACACGCAGTGCTGTGCATGGGGGGGTCTGTCTCAGAGGGTGTCTTCTCACGTCCTGCCGTCCCATCGGTACATAGAAAGGCTGTAGATGTTGAAAGTCGGAGGTCATACGGGACGTGAGGTGCTATGAGTATTTGCCTTTCAGACTCGCATGGCAGTCCTTCAGTTGCTCCCCTTAGACGTGACAGTAAAGCCTTTGAAGTGGTGTGTCTGGGAGGCTCGGAGTGAAACACCCAGCCTGCACCCATGAAGGATGCACAGTTCTACCGTTGGATGTTTGTGAAACCCTGAACAGAGCATCACAACAAACCACCAAACAACGGCTGTTGATGAGAGGGTTCCTCTTTATTTCTGTTGAAGTAGATGCCTGGAAAGCAACCGAAAAGCTTGTACAGGTTTTGAAGGAAAAAGCAGAATTGTCTTGCGCGTTTCCCCCCACAGCTATTGCCTTTTGGTTTTTGCCTTTTGATTTTAGGTTGGTACAGCAGAGTGCAGCTTCTCCTGTGATGCTTTCTAACATGTGGCAGTTACATAGCTAAGGAGAAGTTTGTGTGTTTTGACTCGTGTTCCAGAAATGTAGGCTGACACCGGCGGTCACTTCCTTCAAATATGCTCGAATAGTTCTCCGAGTCAGCCACAGAAATCCTTAGTAAACCTAAGCTGACTGAAAGCTCATTTTGTATATTAAGTTGTGTAAAATTACAAATGTACTATTATTGAAACTTTTTTTAAAGTCTTTCTTAAGTTTAAGTAGTTCAGACAGTTTGTTGCACTTTGATAGTGTTAAAGCTGAAATCAACGCCTCCTAACAGAATCACCCAGTGGGACCAAAATATTCTGATCTGCAGTTTAAAGCTCTTTTTTTTGCCAAGTTGTTTTGAAGATAGTGAGTACTTTTGATCTGAACCTCCCACTTGTAAAAGTAATTCATCCATAACCACTGATTGAAGTCCTGATTTGTTAACATGTCATTTTAACTTCAGCCTTAGATGAAAGTACATCTGGCACCAATACCTCCATTTTCTCTACTTTCTATTTTGTCTTTTTTTTTTTTTTTTACCCAGTGTTTTTTTTTAAGTCAAGCCTTTGCTTTTTTTTTTTTTTTTTAAGTCACTGAGTAAAGGCCAGTCAATGGTTCCTAAACGGCTGTGCTGAGATCTGGAAGCAGGAGTTAGTTGGCCTTGTTCCTCTAAGTGCAGAGCATGTTTAATATTCTCATAATTTTTACTTTTCTCCTTTTTAAAAAACAAAAAAAAACAAAATAATTTATCTAAAAGGCACTTGCTAGAAGTCCCCTCTGAAGCTGCCTGTCGGTGTGATGTTTCAAAAGTGTACATTTCATGATATGCATGAGATGTGTTGGATTTTCTCTGATGTAGATTCAAAAATAAATCATCAGATACCACATAGAGGAAGAAGCATGCCACTTAAAGCAAAGAGGTAGTACTGTTGTGCTTCGACAGTTCAAGAATGCAGTCATTTATGAGGTGCAAAAATTATTTTGTTCTTTTTTTCAAACTGTTACAAGCATTTAACAGTTTCTATTCAAAATGATACAATATTCAATCCCCTGTTCTTCACGGCTGTCCCGCCATACAGCAGATCTGTAAGTCCACTGTTTTAAATGGTTAAATGGTTTTGCACGATGTTGATGCTCAAGAATCCTGGATCCAGAAAAACTGAGAGAGAGGGCTGAAGTTGGACATTATGACTTTGTGGTTGGAAACGGGTTCATCAATGTTACAGGTCGTCATTGTAAATTTTCTATGTAAAATACTTAACATTAAAATTAATATCATAAAAAGCAACTGTTATTTTTTTGTCTTCTGTGTTGCCCACATGTTTCAGAGCAGATCATAACAATCTTTCCATCTGCATTCACTGATCATTCCATGACCTTTTAGACCTTCCCTTCAATATTTTGATGTGTAATGACCAACATTTTTTTATATTTACAGATTGTGTTTAAGGGCATCATCTCCCAAAGGCTGCCTTACTGAAAAATACATTTTAATTTAACTTCCAAAGAATCAATATTTTTACGTAACTGGACCAGTAAGACTACTAGATGTTTTTTTACATCTGTATGGCTCTTTCCTCATTTTTAGGAGGATTCTGGTGATTCCAATGGTGTCATGAAACTTCAAAAATTGTTCAGTTTACAGATCAAATATTATACAAGGAAGGAACAAGACTGGTACATATACATAGTGCGTAGATATGGACGGCATGACTTAAAATAGTTCATCTTATCGTTGCCTGGGCACTCGTCACTGCTGGTGCGCAGCAGAGCATAAACAAAGGAGCGGAGCGAAAAAGGCGAAGACACCGGCGCATAGTGATGACGCAAAATACGCCCGCACTTTGCGACTCACTGCCAGTTTTTCGTGGGGGGACTAATTCGGCCCTGAAACGCTAACAGCAGAACATATTTAAAACACTTCAACAAAATGTCTTTCGTCGACCAGGACTCTTCGGAAGTTGGACCAGCGGGGGAGTCGAAGTTGGAGAGCTTCTTGTTCAGTGAGCACAGTTTAAACTTGTCATTAGCGCTGCTCGTGGGGACACACGTGGGTCTCTGGATGCTTTGACGTGCCAACAGAGGAGGAGAAAAATCGGACTTATTTTAATTTTTTTCTCGAAACTACTTTAATCAAAATCTCTTCTTTTATTTTATAGGCTGTGAATTATCATCTAAAGTACCATTCTACACTTTCCAAGGCGACGAAGAGGAGGACCTGGAGCACTTTCTTGAACTCAGAACAGTATGTGCGCTTTGAATAGAGAGCCGGGGGCAGTCTCTGACCCGACGTGTCTTAAACCAAAGTCGCGTGTGTGTGTATTTTTGTGATCTTCGTAGATAAATGTTGTCCTTCCTGCAGATTTGTCTTGGAGAGGGGGCCAAAGAGGAGAGCAATGTGGTGGAAGTGTCAGCCATGAACCACCAAGGAAAGACCATTTCAGTGCCCATTGCCTGCCTCCACATGAAGTCTCTTCCCATGGTATGTGGACCCTCATGAGGAAATCACACAGGGTCATTGATGTTTGTCAAAGCAGAAACGAGGAAGGGTGACTCTGAATTTCGACTGTTCTCAGGTCAGCCTGGGTGAGTTCGAGTTGAAAGCTCCAGTGACCATCCGGCTCAATTCTGGGACGGGACCGGTTATTGTCAGCGGGCTGCACCTGATAGGTAACTCTTCAATCCATTTCCTCTGTGAAAGGATTCTCACGTAAAAGAAAATCCTGAAATTATGTGAATATACTGTGAAGAAAAAGAAAATAATTGGTTTGTGAAACAGTGGAGGATTTCAAGTCGGTCTGAAAATGTTAGCTTAAATCAGAGATGTTTAGAAAAAGATCCTGTCCATCAGGTGGGTTTCTGCAGACTTTCTCCTGCGTGACCATCGCAGCATGGAGGCAACACACCACATACGTTGTCTCCTCTGCTTTGGGTTTGGACTCGTAAGCAAGAAAATATTTAAAAAATTTGCATCACTGCACCATTTCCTCAATAGACAGTTTTTGCATTTCACAGGCACCACTGGCACATTCTTTGTATGTTTTTGTAGGTTTTCTGCACAAGCACGAACATGTCTTGTAGCATGAGCCTGGATGAACTTCCTGTTTACGGGGCTGTGAACAAACCCCACTTTTTTTTTTGCCTTTTCTTTCAACAGCAAAACAGAACTAACAGCTGGCAGATTTAGAGGAAATACTTGCAGAATTTGACAAAGTGTGTGGCCTTAAAAGGAAAGAAAGGTTCTGAGCTGCCTGCGTGCACAGCGATTGTGCTGGGAGGTCTCTGCCCTCCACTCCTCAAAGGAAAAAGTCATTAGACTTGGTGTCTTCACAGTTCTATCGTAGTGATGGCACATTTTCACAGAGAAAGTTCTGCAAATAGCGTTAGAGACCGTGAAGTGTTCTCTCCACTGATCGCTGTGTGTTTGACTTCTTCTGAGAGCGTTGATCCAGCTTTTCGCACCCCATTTCAATTTATTGAGTTCAAACCCAGCAGAGAAGTCTTTGTTCTGTTGTAACAATGTGACAAGACTCAGCTTTAATTTCTTTACTGTCCTTTTTTTCCCCCGACGTTCACCCGTCAGCCTCTCAGGCGGAAGACTCAGATCTGTTTGAGGATGAGGAAGACGACGATGAGGAGGACGAGGAAGAGATGCCTGCTTCTAAACCAGCCAAAAAGAAGCAGAAGCAATAGGCAGAGGATTTTTGTACTCTCTCACTTGTTGACATGTTAGGAGAAGCATGGGTTTTGGGTGGGCTTGGGGGGTTTCTTAAGAGATGGACAAATTGTACAACGTTTTCCACACAACCAGGCGAAAGTTCAGGATGCTAGCAGCTAAACCTGCCATAAGGGGGATCACACCGGGTTCAGATGTTTTCCTCGACCCACCTTTCAGCTTCCCTGCGAGCTCAGCTTTTGTCTCTGTTGATAAGACGTTTTCTTGTACAAGACCGTTTGACTCAAATGTGTGTGATACAGACCGAAATGTCTTGGTTTTACAGCACAAGAAGCAGGGGAAGTGTCTTTTACCACCACTGGGTTGTTTAAAGATCAAAACATTTTGTATACTCCTGTCAGGAAAGATGAATATTACTCATTCAAACTGAATGATACAATCAGATGTTTTTATAAGCACCTAATTAAATGTGTCTCATATTTCCAGTGGTTTGTTTGCCATGTTATACCTGTTGGGATGTTTGTTTGTAAGGTTTGCACATAAAATTAATGCATGAAGAAAAAAAGGCTTTCCACTTTTTGAGTTTTTAAGAAGAACATTAAGAACTTTTGTTTTTCTTAAAAAAAAAAAAAAAAAATAAAAATTTTAAAAACAAAAAAGTTTGAACTTTAAATTTTTGTCGCAGTAAAGCAGCTAATAGTTGCAGTTTACACATGCGTTGAAGGTTTTAAATCCTTCTTTTAATTAGCTGACAGTTCCAGCACACTTCAGGTATGCAGTAGGTTTATTCTGCAGGTCTGGAGCGCAAAAGCTGCCTCAGCTTGCTTGGTTTCATGTCCTCAGAATGCCAAATATGCCCCACATGACCTAAGGTCTCGCCCGACGCCATTCGGTGCTAGTCGTGGATTTCACAGACTGACCTGCACCAGGCCGCAGACACGGTACCACAGGTGGCTCGGCATGACCCGGTGACGCTTTGAAGACCAGGTTCCTGTTTTTGGGGGAGGATGGGAATGCAGGCAGTTATTCCGACTGTTAAAGAAAAAACAACCCTGTTCACAGAATGATAAACGCCTGGTAAATGTACTCTGCCAAAGCATCCCCTTATGTTGATGCACACTGTCGAATCGGAAGTCTACGCCCATGCAGGTCAAGTTTGTTTGATAAATCACCAGGACAAATTGTTTAAAAAATCTCAGTCTTTAACTGGCTCAAAGGTTGGTCAGAAATTCTGAAGAACAAGAAAAGAAATGGCCCCTACCAGCCAGCAGCCTCATGCGAGCAGGAGTCTTTCCCTATGTTGTGTAAACATGGGAATTATGGCAAAAAGGAATTCTACTTAAGGCTTAAAAAGGGGAAATGTTGGTTGTTTCAACTGCTTTTAAGTTTTGTTTTTTTTTAATAGAAATCTTGCATTGTGTTCAGCTAGTTTTACCTCATCAAACTGATGTAAAACCACACAGAGCAGCTTTGTTCTAAAAGGCGGAGGGGTCATTCAACTCAAACTTCCTCTAAATTCAACTGTTGGCTGTCCGTGAACCAGCAACAATGGGTAACTCAGAGGAGATCTCAGTTAAGCTTTGAAGGCAGATGTGCTCATATCAGGTTACGGTGAATCATCTACATACACATCGCTGTGCCATCTGCACTGTACAAACATCCTTGCAGGCAAACATGATCTTTGCAAGGCAGCTGTAGCGTGTTTTGTATCCAGCTCATCTGCAGACCGGCAAAGCCATCCCACACACTCTTATCACAGCAGTTTGTTGAAGTTATTTGTCTTTATGTGCTGCTTTATTGCCTTATTCATCTTTAAAAACAGAGTAAAGTACAGCTGCTAAATTTTCATGTTTAGGTAAAGAGAAAGAAAGAAGCCTCCTTATGCGTGCTCTTTTAAAGGGTTTGTTTGGTAATTAACAGTGGCTATGTATGGAGGATAATTGGCAGCTGCCAAAATTACATGACACGATCAGGCTGACCGACAGCTGAACTTTGAAATGTTTTCGCGAGGGGGGGGGGTAGCAGACAGACAGCAAGCACAGTGAAGATAAGCCTGAAGGAGAAACAGGAAGAACATCAAATCAGAATCCTTGTGTTAACCATGTATGCCCTTCCTCTTACAGGGACTCATCAATTGCAGATGTGATCATCTGAAAATGTTCAAACATTCACTTGCTGAGACTCAAGGTTGATTTTTTTTTTTTTTTTTTTGTATAACGATGCATTCGTAAGAAGGAAAATGACAAAAAATGTCATGTCACAATGCACAGCACATGTCCACCTTATCCCAAACAACTGGATCGCCCCAGGTGCTGCCATAGTTACATGAGAAACGGCCAGCCTGGTGATGTCCTTGATGGCAGCCCTCTGTAAACAAC